GTACACACACACACATACACACTCATACACACATTTCCACACATTTCCACGCGCGCATTATGTTGTGTGTCTCCACAGATTTTTGTCATTTTGACTGAACAGAATTTAAAAACACGTTTAAAATAAACAACTTTTTTCACGCGTAAAACGGCTTTACGTCATCTTTTATTTTATTTTATTTTATTTTAATAATCTGAAAATGATTTAGAGATTTAAATCCCTGGCTGAATAAGAAGTAAAAAATGTACTCACAAATCCGTGTTTGTCGGAGATGTTGTTGGTCAGTTTGAGTTTGTGGAAGGCGACCGGCTTGGCCATCCACTGCTCGCCCGTGGCCGGGCTGTCCGGGTGGATGTACATCCGTTTGGGCATCTCCGGGTCGGCCTTGCCCGCCACCATCCAGCGGGAGTTGTGGAACTTGTAGCGGCAGTCGTCCGCCGCCACGATGTCCATGAGCAGGATGTATTTGGCTTTTTTATCCAGGCCGCTGATGCGCACTTTGAAGGGAGGAAACATCCTCCTGCAGGGTGGTGGGGGGGTGGGGGGACACACACAGTCAGCTGCAGGACTAATAACACGGAACAAACACTGAAACTGTTGGTTTTTCTGAAGCTGCGCGCGAGCAGAAGTGCTCGGAGCGCGCGTGGAGCGACATTTTTCTGCGCCCTTCACTGAAGTGACAGCTGGTTTATAAAAGGAGCTCTGCTGTGTCAGAAAGCAGTTTGAGACCGAGCTTCTGATAAAACTGTCCTCAGATCTGTTTTAAATTCTGAGGAATCAGTGATGTTTTTTAAAACAGCAGCTCTGCTGAACCAAACCAAACCCTTCAGAGCAGAAACTGCAGCTCAGCTTSTTTTCTTGTTCACATGAAGGCCGAACGCGTAAAGAATGTGTTTAAGAGTGAAAAATCAAAATCTGGAAGCTGCAGACCGACTGGTTTTACTGGAAAACGGATCCGCATTTCAGGCATTTCTTACCTCCCAGACTTGGTGATAACCATCTCCGTGCCCAGTTTGTGGAACTGGTCCCACAGATCCTTGGCTTCCAGCGTGACTTTGGGGTCGTCGTCCACTTCCTCCTCGGGCTCCAGGCTCTTCATGCCGCGGAGGTGAGCCGCCGCCTGATGGTGGCTGAGGGCCGGGTGGAGCCCAGCCTCCGCCGCGCCGACCAGGCCGTGCTCCGGCAGGGGCTTGGTGAGCGCGCCGGGCGGCAGGCTGAGCGCCGGGAAGAAGGAGGGCTGCGCGGCCGCCAGGAAGGCGGACATGGGGAAGTCGGTCGGCCGGTGTGCGTGGAAAGGGTGATAAGCCATTGCGGTCCCCGTAAAAACTGGATCTCTCATCGGTGCATCCACAGGAACCGAAGTGAAACGACGGGGTTGTGTAGGTTTAGCTCCAGGAGGCTGCAACCCGGTCCCGGTGCGCGTTCCGCGGGGAGAGTCCTTCGCTTCCTCGGAGTTCCTTCAGTGTTCGTGGCGCTGTGAGCCCGGCTCCGCTGCACTCATCCCGCCCTGACTGCAGAGATGTGGCCCCGCGCTCTGCTCCTCCGCTCAGCTACTGTCTCACATGTCCTGCTTGCCTCCGTCCCCCCAGCACTAATGAACCAAGCCCCTTTGATTGCTGATTTTACGCGTTCTGGACCAATTGTGGGCCCCTATAGGCGTGGTTCTGACAGCTCCAGCCAGACTCTGAGAGAGGAGGGAGGGAGGGAGGGGGGGCAAGAAGGTGTCGGAAGCATTAGCAGTAAGAAAACATGTCAACAGAATAAAATATTAACCAATGACAGGGAAGATCGGGAAATCCCACCCCCCCAGACCCGATCCACAGAGCGGCTCAGCCCTCAGCTCCTGGCCGGAGGAGGCATCACCTCTGCCGGCTCGCGTGTTTCCAGTGCCGCCTGTGGAGCAGCCGAGCTGTCCGCAGCTCTTCACACCGAGTGTCTGTCAGAACAAGTCGCAGAAATAAATCCACACACACACACACACACACATACAGGGACGCGCACACACATACGCGCACACAGTTCTGTAGGCTGGATGTGTCCGGCTCCATCAGCTGTGCACTCCCCGGGAGGAGCGCCTCTCTGCCGGCAGGAGGAGGCGCGCGCAGGGCGGGAAGCTGGACCCGAAACTGCTGGAAAACAAACAAAAATTAATAATAATTTAAAAAAAAGGAGAAGATGAAAAGAGCTGAGAACAAACAGAGCAGACAGCGGTGAGTGTTCACTTTCATCCAACTCTGCCTGATTAAAGTTTCTCTTGGTTCTGAAAGTCTCCCGCCGCCGTGACCAGATCCAGATCCAGATCCAGATCCAGATCCAGATCCAGATCCAGATCCAGATCCAGATCCAGAGCTCTGACCCGAGCGCAGGCCAAAACACGCGGCGGTCTGGACCGGGTCAGAACGTGCGGGACTGCGCGGCGGGCTGGTGGGGTGGTGGCCGCTACACGTGTGAACCTTGGCTCCTGGGCTCCTCGGCAGCGCCTGGACCAGGACTCGGTGTCAGATACAAACAGTAGTTTTGCTTCTTTTGTTCTTTTTTTTTTCTTGTTGGGCCGAAAACTGAAAGGAAAAGTGAGATCTGCAGTGAATGAAGAGCAGCTCGTTTCCTGTGAAGCAGTGGCGTCACTAGGCCTATTTTCGGGGGGGCTGGAGCCCCCCTAAAATATTATAAGGCCCCCTTAAATTATTTTGGTGCGATTTTTTTAAATTAATTAACTTTTTTTAAATTTCAAAATGATGTGGTCAGAATATATA